GTGACAGATTGGGCCGATTCTAGGAGACGAATACGTAAATTTGTTCCAACCGAGGAGCATCCAGCAATAGAAGGGCGTCCGGTGTTAGGTAAGAGACCAGTAAACACATACTACAGCAACGAATACGCAACAGTAGGGCGTCAGTTGCTAGGCAGTGCAAGGGTGGACACGGCTGACAACAATACATAATATCCATTGCTAAGCAGCGATGTGTTTTCTGTTGGACGTGATTGATCGGAATCACTCCCCGGTCGCTTTACCCCGGGGAAATAGCCCGCGATACCCATTGGATAGGAGGTTGGGTGGGCCTGGCCTCAGAACCGGTCTGAATGGCGTGGAGAGTAGAATGATTTCAGCTCCTGTTAGGACTCGGAGGCACGCGGTAGCGTAGTTCCTTCAGGCACTTCAGTAGTTGGCTGAGGCACTATGCTACAAACCGGAAGGTCGCGGGTTCGAGTACCGATGAAGTGGACTTTCACTCAGCCTAATTCTTCTAGCCCCACTATGACCCTGGGGTTGACTCAGTACCAGGAATCTTCCGGGGGGGGGGTAAAAGGCGGCCGAGGCATAAGGCTGACGACCTCACCACTATTTGTGAACCGATTGTCTAGATAATGTGGGGCCCTTAACGTTTCACAACCCTATGGGCCTCCATGGCCTGTTACAGGGATAGCTTTACCTTTTACCAGGCCATGAAGACGCATAGGTGAGTGGAGGTATAGCTCCACTGTACTTGACCACAGCATTAGGTGGAGGTGAGCGGTGAACTTCACACCTCGGACGCTGGATAGGAGGCTGGGTGGGCACCAGAGCCAGTCTAGACGTTGTGGAGAAGAACAAATCTCTTGCCTCTGCCGAGAATCAAACTCCGGCCGTCCAGTCTCTAGCCCGTCGCTATCCCGGCTCGTAGACACACACATAGAAGGAAGATTTTAATTTACTATTTACTGTGTGGGGCAGCCGAAAAAATATGCTGAATGTAAAATCGACGATATACTTGAAGAATAAAAGTATTATTGATGTGGAAATAAATAGAACGGTCGAAGATTTCCGACACAGAAGGGATCTGTTACACCTTCGCTTAGTAACAGCAAAACTGGCTCTGCTCTATGAAGCATTTGCAGTCTTACTACACCTGTAACTTTGTCTTAAAACATGTCGTTTTAGAAAGTCCAAGAGAATCTGGAAAGAAAAGAATCGAAATATAATTTTATATATGAATTACTGTTATGTGTTGAGACTAAGAATATTAGACAAGCAAAGAAACCGATTAAGAATAAACGCATCATAACGTCATGAATCCTACAGATTTCTAAGTCATCTAAACTTTTCAACCTTATAAGTATTTGGGACATAGCAGACTCTGTAAAAGCACGGCCCATCTTCTTCTCCGTCTTATAAATATACGCTTTCCAAGAATATTTGTATTAAAAGTTTATGGTATGGTATTCTTATTTCATCCATTCGAGCCACTTGTAACATGAATTCCTTGCGAACAGGAATCGTCTTTCAGGGATGTATCACAGTGAGATAAGGAACAGACACTTGAACCAAGCTGCTGTTCCTTGTGGCCCGACCCTGAGACAGCGACATAAGGGACTGGCGATAAGGGGAGTGCCTGTCTTATAATTTTCTGTACCATACACGTTTGTTTAAAAATATATAATTATTGTCTATGGACTTGGGGACGTATTCCATGTTTGCTATTGGAAGTGACAAACAGTCACGTCATTATATAATAAATGAAACTTGCAACCATCACATGGTGGTAAATTTGTCCCTGTGCTTATCTAATTAAGCACCACGTCCCTGCAGCTTTAGCGCCGGTGAAAGAGCCCCCGGTACCCATTGGCTAGGAGGTTGGGTGGACCCCAAAGACGGTTTGGACGCTGTAAAGAAGAGAAAATACTTGACCCTACCCAAACCCTCGATCGTCCAACCCGTAGCAAGTCGCTACACTGACTGCGCTATCGCGGTGCTTATTCATGAAATTCGTAAAAAACGCTATTAAGAAATATTTATTTTTCTCTAATTATGCGGCCGGGGTTGCAGAGTCAAACAATAAAATTATCCCTTAACTAAGTATGGGTATGGCAGGCCAGTATCTGATGAACAGTAATGATTATTTTTTTTAAAAAGGCCAGTTTAAGGAGATCCAGTAACTAGCGTCGACCGCTAGCTGTATGCTGACAAAATTTATACTATGTTTTATGGGACAATATTCAATATAAAATATTTTTTTTATTGTCGTAAGTTATAAAGTTGGTAACGGATCTTGTCGCTCTTTTAATTTTATGTTTGGAAGATATCAGAGCGATGGTCCGGTGCGTCTACCTAGTGGTGCGTGTAGTATTGCTTTCGTCTGCTACTTGCGAGTGCACACTGCAGGTTCAGGCGCACACATGCGTGTCTATTGCATTCAGAAACACTGGAGTAGGACGTGTAAATTGCTGTTTGTGTTTCGTGGAGATGGATTGAGTCAGATTGCAGAAACTTCTTTAGCGTTCATGCTATAACGAAGTCGTAAATTAAAAGAACGAAAGGTCTAATATAGAGGTTATGTCATTCCATCGGTTCATGTATTAATAATTATCAGATTAAAGATATTTTTATGGATTTTTATTAAAATTTTCAGCGGAGAACATCAGTAAACGTTATCTTAAGAATTAAATTCTCTTCGGGTTGGTTTTATTAGCACCAAAATTCGTGAGTGGACGCAAATACCATGTTTCAGTTGGGCCCCTTAGAAAGAGCTAATGTCAATTTCTTTCTAAGGGGCCCAACTGAGTAGGTGTCTTCCTTTCTCACCTGAACACGGAAACAGATCCAGTTTCCGAAACTTCGTGTCCTCTATTACCTAGAATTCCGGATGATGGAAAAAGTCCAAAAACCCAGTAATTCTGTGTGTCATACACTATCGTCAGAACCCTTTAGAAAATACCATGCTTGTTATATTTCCCTAAACAAAATGTGCATCAAATAATTATTAGAGTCCAGAAGACATATATAATCTACATAACCTGAACTAGATTCAGATGTTAATTTGAATGAAACAATAAGATTAGCGTAATTTGGAAGGGTTCCTATTTCGTAAAAATAAAATCACTTGAGAATATTTCTCTCTATGATGCATCAGAGATAGTTTCAATATCTTGGGCATCATTCATGGTACAGATTTCATACTAAACGCGCAATATTCTGGAATGTATTCTGCTTCCCTCTTCATACAAAAAAATGAAAACATTAGTCTTAATCACTGGTCTGAAATATTGCATTTTTATTATTTGCCTCCTATCCAGTGGGTGTATTTGGCTCTTACGCTGGGGGTAATGCGGCGAGGGCATGAATCAAATCACCTACCTCCGTCTAGTGCTGAGGTCAAGGATGGTGCAGCTATACCTCCACTTCCCCATATGTTTTCGACGTTAATATCCAAGATGTTAGAAGCAGCAAAAAAAAAAAGCAGTATGCATGTTTTTCCTTCGTAAGTAGTAGCTCTAGACACGCAATTTTTAAAACATCGATAGATGTTAGAATACACTTGACTTACACTGTGTAACACTTACACACTGGAGCTATATTCTTATATAGGGGATTGCCAATAAATTATTGATGAATTTATATCAGCAGTCCTTTACGTATGTAGGAAGAGATTTTATTTATGGCAGAACAGGCTACTATGAAGGTGATACATGTCTATAATATGGAACGTGTTAACATTGAAATCCTACATCTGTCGACTTTTTTTTTGAGGCCTGTTAGCAGGCATTCGATCACTAGCGGAATGACTTCGAACAAATGCATGTAACAGGTTAATTCAACAGTTAAGTGATTCATATCTGAGAGTTATCTGTTTCGAATACCGGTTCTTCTTAGTTTTTGGAACCTGCAGATGAATAACGGAATATTCAAGCAGGCCACGGCAAAATTTTTCACATAACTTTTAGCGGACCAGTCATTTTATATCACTAGTTCTCTCGATCTATTATCTTCAACGCTGTAACACGAATTCCAACACCGAAATCTCTCCACTTGACCGTACTTTGAACCTATTCACCCCGTCTTCCCTCCTCAGAAACTCCCTTCTTGAGATATTCTCCGATATATATTCTTCTGCCTTTTTTTTTGTCTTCGTAGAAATCGAATTTGAAGAGATTTCCACGCATAAATGTTTTCGTACGAGTAATTTCAGATTTACCCTGTCCATAATACATTTCCAGTCTACAAGCATTGAAACACTCAATATATGACTTCTTTGGAAACATGAGTTGAGATTGGTAAATAATGCAATTTCTTATGACGTGTTGCCATCCACCTTCACCTGATTAGCCGCAAAGTAAAGTTGAAAGGAGTTGTCTTATTTTCGGTTCCTTGAGAATAACTATGAAGTTGATGATTATGAGGAGTCCTAATTAGTAATTCTAATGATATCTGTTGAAATACTTAGAATAATATTTATATTATTACATTTTTAATGTATAATTAATTATATAGTTTTTACTCTTAATTTTCCTTAATAAGTGACATATTCAGTTTCGTCAAAAATAATTAATATTTTTCTCATTGGAAAAATATATGCCGTCAGTTTATATTCGGAACTACCTTACGTTCAGGTTTATGCGTATTCATTATCACATACAACACTGTCTTTTACTTGTCTCTTACGATTTGTTTTCAAGACAGTCCCCGACATCTAATACTAATTGTACGTAATAGAACTAATATACAACATCCCACTACTTTAGCTCATCCCCAGTCGGCATAACAAATTTTCCTAAGATCCATCTTTATGCTATACACATCTCATTATGTCTTCAACTGACCGAATTCCATGAGTTTTCCCCAGTAAAATTCTGTATGTATTTCGTATTTCTGTCTTCGTCCTACGTCCTCCTTCATTTCAGTCTCGTGGTAATAATAAGTGATCCTTGCAGGCCACGGCAGTTGATACCTTCTCATAAAATAAAATAACAGTAACCTCTGAAATTCCTTGTCCCTACCTGTGTTTGAAGCTGGGAATCAGGAACCCACAATACGAGACAGAATTCCCTGGAGCGTAAAGGGCCGCCTCTGAAGAGGAACGTTGGTTGAAGGATGGGCACCTAGTAGTAGTAGTAATACGTCGTAGTTTTAAGAAGCGTCGGCGTCGCGAAGTAACGCTACTTGGGGTGGCGGACCGTTTTCTGCTGCTGGCCACCACGCTGCAACGTGCTTTATAACATTGTACACGCTTTAGGCGACGCGGGGACGACGGCACGACGCGGATTCACCAATCATATTCCTAGGCGGAGGCGGGAAAGGTAAGGAATTCATTCTACCCCTAACCTCCCCTCAGCGGCGGAAGGAAATAGCGCGTGCGCCTGGATTGCAGACAAGAGTGAGCATCGCGTAGTGTTTAGAGACCCTCGCTGTCACAAGTACGGTCATTAGAATTAGGCCCCTACTTCTCACTCCAAAGCAAATTAACACTCCCTGAAACCACCACCGCATGTTAGGGGGCGTATGCTTAATGAAGTAGGACAGCGTTCCAAACCATCCGTGGTTTACGGACGGCACTATCAACTTGCACATGTAATTATTATTAGCAAGTGCAAACATTATTCGCTTTGTGTTTTAAAACTTCAGTTTTCTTTCTTAGTTTCTTGGGGTGGGGTGAGACAGTCCACTTGGTATTGCGGCCTCTGTTTGGCCTATTGTACCAGGTGAGGATGACTGTGGAACACTTGGTGGAATGTGAATTGGCAGGGGAAACCAAAGTACTAGAAGAACTCCTGCCCCAGTGCCACTTTGACAACCACAAATCCTACATGACCCGCCCTGTTTTCGAACCCGGACCGCAGCGGTGGGAAGCCTTCGACTAACCGCCTGAGCTGTGGAACGGCCTTGTTTTAAGTAATTTTTTTACTAACTATATGTAACAGAAGCTGATATAAGTGTTTTCATATGATGTTGAAATCAGAGGGACTTCATGATGACCCCACAACGAAGATTCATAATTACAAATTACGCAGGAGATATTTGAAATAATTTATGTTTTCAGAAAGTTCGTGTACTGTCAGGTTGCTACATGACAGTAAGAAATCTAATCGTAACTGACACTGATCTGTCTGATGAGACACTTGCTCGGGTAAAGTATGGATTTCTTGTTTAGTTGCTACGAGGAACAGAAAATTTCGTTATTAATGTACTTCATAGACGTACGGGTCATTGGCAGGACGGAATTAATGATACCTTAACAGACTTCGCCATAGCTCTATAATTGTTTCTACCCACAGTATTAATCTATGAGCTGCCTCTAGGTAGTCGGTATAGCTACTGGCTCTAGACTGGATGGCGAAGAGTCGGAGTTTGAATCCCGGTAGGAGCAAGATTTGTCTCTCCACGTTATCCACACCGGTTCTGAGGTTCACCCAGCCTCTTGTTCAATGGGTAACGGTGGCTGTTTTCCCGGGGAGTAAAGTGGTCGGGTCGTGAACTAGTGCGATAAAGAATACGTGGATGTATAAATCTACGCCCCCATATGTCTTCATCGCATAATTCTTAATTAGTTAAAAGTATCTACAGACCGGGAATTATGAAGCAGTAGTTTGCAGTAATTGAAGTGCAAGTAACACGTGTGTTGCGATCCTTATATAATAAACGCCAGAAATACGCGCACGCAACAGTAGAAAAGGTATTGGAAAAAGTGTTTTCTATGTGGTCCGCACCATGCCCAGTGCTAGGCAATGGGCAGATAAAGACTCGTGACAACAAGAAATATTTTCTATGTAGTCCTCGCCATGTACAGTGCTAGGTAACGGGTCAATGAACACGCATTCTGACATGTGACACGTGATTTCCATGAAGTCCTGCCTGAGTTTATATAACAGTCTACAAATAATTGTGAGTTCAGTTCAGTAGTTAAGTTGAGTGTTAAGCTGTGGAGTGTTAACCAGCGGACAACGACATAATCTCCATTGCTAAGATTCGTTATAGGAAACGTCTAGTGAGAACACTGCAGAAGAATTGCTATTGTTGAGACCTGTTACCAAGCAACGACTAGTGAAAGCAGACTTAAAAGACTTAGTGTGGAGTGGTTTGGAGTGTGTAAATCACTAATGGTGTAATAATTATTTGTAATTACGACCTGTAAGTTGTCAATAAATCTATTCACAAATCAAAATCCCGTCTATAGTCACTAATACATATGACAATATGCACTAGGTATGATGTACAAGCAGATCATCTGGCAACTAAGTAAGACGTTCTCCTACTTTCATTTCACTACATACGAATATTGAGTATTTGGTACGAAACAGACCCACAGAATACACCGCACACATAAAGTACAACGAGTCATTGTTTACATTCCATACAGAACGGACAGTACTTTTTAAGATGAGGCACCGACTAAATAATTAACGTTAATATTACTACATCTACATCACGGGCCTCCAAAACAGTTTATTATATATACAAAATATAGACTACTCCAATTTGCCCTTGGGAACACAACAAAATCACAAAAACCAACAACTGACTCGATGATGTAAAGCATCACTCGAAGAATTTTATTCTTGTTTTATACACTAACTTTTGTTTTATATAATCTAATTTAAGATGTGAATCTACTGGGTGATAATGTAGATACCATAAAGAAAAACACAAACTTGAATTGACGCAAGTAAAGAGGTTGGTCTAGAAGTAAATACAGAGAAATCTNTGGACCGAAGAGAGATGAAGTGACAGGAGGTTGGAGAAAACTGCATAAAGAGGAGCTTCATAACTTGTACTCTTCTCCAAGTATAATTAGAATGATCAAGTCAAGAAGGATGAAGTGGGCAGGGCATGTAGCACGAATGGGGGGAGACGGGGAATGCGTATAGGAGATTGGTGGGAAAGCCAGAAGGAAAGAGACCACAGGGAAGACCAAGGCGTAGGTGGGTGAACGATATTAAAATGGATCTTAGAGAGATAGGATGGGGTGGTATGGATTAGATTGATCTGGCTCAGGATAGGTCCCAGTAGAGGGCTCTTGTGAACACGGAAATGAACTTTCGAGTTCCATAAAATGCTGGGAAAGTCTTGAGTAGCTGCAGAATTGGCGGCTCCTCCAGAAGCACTCAGCTCCATGAGTAAGTAAGTAAGTAATATAATATTTCAGCGGCTGCTCCCTTCCTTGCGGTGTCCGACGTGAATTGCTTCTTCCACTTCTTGAGGTTTGTGTACTGGAACTGCGTTCCCAGTTCGGAAGTAAACACACTATCGATCGTTTATCTCTTCCTAGGCCTTCCCTGGTCTCTTCGCCCACGATGTCTGTATTCCGGAAACAGTGAAATTGGTGTACAGGGGCCTCACCAACAAAGGGCTGCTTGTAAAAGTAATGCTTTCGCGGAAACACCCGAAAGACCAAACCAAAATGTCAGCTGCTGTATTTGACAAAGAAAACCAAGGCACCTTTTGTAGCGTAATAAAGCATTGAGACTTGTGTAATGGCTGTAGTTCTTCGTTTGAGTGTTGCTGTAGCTAACATTAAAAGATTTATAACTGTTAGGGCACAAAACCGGCAATCATTTACTAATAAGCAAAGAAAAACAGACATAAACCTTACTCTACAAGAATTTAACACCATCCAACAAAACTTGCAGATTACCATAGAAGAAGAACAAAATAATCAAATTAATATGCTAGACATAACAGCGCCTGAGTCTGGTGTCGGTAGGCCGAAACATGCAGTACATGCAAACGTCTCGCGTGTTTATATCATCATTGTGTCGACCGAGTAATAACAGACATATCTCAGGGATGTTCTTTGTTCAAGAAAGGAGCACAAGAATTAGATTAATTTCCCGAGAAAAAAAACAGGTATCCTTGGCATGTTCATCATGAACTATAAAAGTAAAATATTTTCACGTGTTCTTCTAATGCGACAATTAATTAATGCGATCCGTATTAGAGGAATCGATTTCTTGGATATTCACAAGGAGGAACTACAGTTAGTTGTAACACAAACTTACTGTTACTATAACACTTCCTAACTACGAACAATAAACTGCAGTCTTTACTTCTGACTTCTTGGTCTGTAGTCTCCTGGACTCTGCTTACCTTCTGTTTCCCCTCTTTAATGTCTCACTGTCTGTCGGTCGGTTATCTTCGCTAGGCAGCTAGAGATCACCTCCTTCAGCAGTAGAGTTATCGCGTTCTTAGCCGTTACTGTGTTCTGGCCGGTAGGTTGCCGTGTGAACGGAAACGTTCTTGTATGCATTATCTAGGAATCGGCGTCTCTCTATTCAGTGCATCGCTTCCTCCATCGAATTCGTTGCTGTTGAAACATAATTAACGAACCGTTGTCTATCAATGGACGTCTGGCTCTTCCTCCATTATTGCGGCTTTCAGGCGTCATGTTACAGTATAGAAATATTACATTAGTCTATACTCCTGTGTAAATTATCGATACAATATAAGCAATTATGCGAGTATGCTATAGCTCTTGCATCTCAACTGTGTGTATTTTTAATAGTTAGTTTGTAGCTCACTTGAAATAAGTTTTTTAGTTTCTTAGGGTGTGGTGAGACTGAGTTCACTTGCTACGTCGGCCACTTCTGACTGGCCTATTCTACCATCCTAGGGTGATAGATGATTATGAGTGCGGAACAGTGTATGAAATGACAATAAGCAGGGGAAACCGAAGTACTCGGAGTAAACTGCCCCAATGCCACTTTGTCCACCACAAATCCCACATGACCTGACCGGGTTCGAACCCGGGCCGACGCCGTGAGAAGTCATCGACTAACCACCTGAGCTATGGCACGGCCTCTGTGGGTCTATTACTGACTTTCATGAAATGTGCGTATGCACACGAATGACTTTTCTCCTTTTTTCTAAATGTCTAACTTCCTCCAAATCTTGTACGAGCACGAGCATTCCTTTCTGTTCTGTTCGCCCGACGTTGACNTTTTCTAAATGTCTAACTTCCTCCAAATCTTGTACGAGCACGAGCACGAGTTTGCCTGATGTTGATGTCCTGCCTCCTAAGACGTATGAATGTAGGATTTCAGATGCAGTGGAATTTATGTAGTTACTATAGTTTACCAATTGATGGCACGCAGTTAGTAAAACATACATGTTCTAATTGTGTTTACGAGAAGCAGTAAATGGTGGGAATTGGCTGTCGGGATAACNAGGATTTCAGATGCAGTGGAATTTATGTAGTTACTATAGTTTACC